GCTCATGATAGTGCTCTGTTAAAGGTTAGCTTTTATTTTCATTATTGAATAAGGGGCACAGAAAGGGAGTTTTGGGTGGAGACAATCACTTAAGCAAAAGCGGGTTTTTAGGAGAGAAAAGGCCAAGCATTCCATTTTGGACTGGATTTAGTGGGTCTGATAGAACCACTGAAGTGTTCTGAGCAGAATGTGATCCAAAGTGGTGGTCTGTGAAAGTGCATCTGTTTGCAGGGATGATGAATTGGCCGGGGGAGGGGACTAGAGATAGTGAAGAGCTTCTGGAGGTTGAAATAAGGATGAAAGGATCCAGAATATACCACTGTGAAGAGGTTTTTATCTGGACTCCTCTTATCGGCCTAAAAGCAGAGCCTCCCCAAAGAATTCAACTCATAAATACCCTCCTCAGGAGTTTGAAACCAGGACACCACTGGGATAAGGAATCACCTAATTGTCATAACACTATCTATCTCCCACTTATTCTCCTATGGGCTCATTTAGCTTTCCTAAAAGTCATTTGCTTTCTGGTAAGTGCCCTTTCTCTCCCTCCCCTTCCCCTATTAAGATGACATATAAGCCCCAAATTCTAACCACCTCTTTGAGACATTTTTCTGGGAACTCCCTTGGATGTGAATAAAAATCTGTCTTTTCTCTTGTTAATCTGTCTTTTGTCAGTTTACTTCACGTGTCCCCATATCACAACCTAAGAGGGTAGAGGAAAAGTTCTTCTCTGACAAGGCAGTGCTAAAGGCAGTGGTAAAACAAAGACAACCTGGGCTGGCCCCGTGGCTTAGTGGTTAAGTGCACACGCTCCCCTGCTGGCGGTCCGGGTTCGGATCCCGGGCGCACACCGACGCACCGCTTCTCCAGCCATGCTGAGGCTGCGTCCCACATACAGCAACTAGAAGGATGTGCAGCTGTGACACACAACTATCTACTGGGGCTTTGGGGGAAAAAATAAATAAAATTATAAAATAAAGAAAATCTTTTGTTTAAAATAAATGAAAATGGGCTGGCTGGTGACGTAGTGGTTAAGTCCACGTGCTCCGCTTTGGCGGCCCAGGGTTCACAGGTTCGGATCCCGGATGCAGACCTACGCACTGCTCATCAAGCCATGTTGTGGCGGCGTCCCACATACAAAATAGAGGAAGATATAAAGTAGAGGAAGATGGGCACGGATGTTAGCCCAGGGCCAGTCTTCCTCAGCAAAAAGAGGAGGATTGGCAGCTCAGGGCTGATCTTCCTGACACACACACACAAAAGTTAGGTATTGTAGTAACAGTAGGAACAGAAAATACACTCGAAATGGGTTGGGACCAGCCCAGTGGCATAGCAGTTAAGTTCATGCACTCTACTTTGGTTGCCCAGGGTTTGCTGGTTTGGATCCCAGGTGCGGACCTATACACCACTCATCAAGCCATGCTGTGGCAGGCATCTCACGTATAAAGTAGAGGCATAGATGTTAGCCCAGGGCAAATCTGGGCTAAAAAAAGGGGAGGATTGGCAACAGATGTTAGCTCAAGGTTAATCTTCCTCACTGAAATAAATAAATAAAATAAAAGTGGGCTATCCTTACTTTAAAAAAAAAAAAAAACCAGGATACTGGCACAGATGTTAGTCCAGGGACAATCTTCCTCAGCAAAAAAAAAATAAAGAAAGAATAAGAATTTAGGGGTCAATTATGGAAAATGGAATGCAACCACTCCTTTTATCACATGTGACTTTAGAAGATAAGAACCCTTAATTTGCTGAGGTCTTTACTGGGAATTCTGTTTCTGTAAAACACCCATTGATAATTATTGGATGTCATTAGCCTTGCTAGTTCTGAGTTGAGGCAAACAGCCCCCAGCCTGCTTAGGTAACTTAGCTGCTGTCCTTCAAGTTCCTCGTAATGGGCTCCTTGTTGGCTGACTTCAAGTCAATGTAACACATTTTACATGAAAACAGACCTCTGTGTGTGTCTTGAACATCCCCAGATGATTCATTGCAGAGAAGCAGCTCTCTAATGTAGCTCTTGTGGGTACTGGTTGTGATGGATGTTTAATAGCATATTACCAGGGAGTCTCCCAGCTGTACTTCAGTGTTTTTTTTTTTTTTTAATTTTATTTATTTCTTTTTTTCCCCCCAAAGCCCCAGTAGATAGCTGTATGTCATAGCTGCACATCCTTCCAGTTGCTATATGTGGGACGCGGCCTCAGCATGGCCAGAGAAGCAGTGCGTCAGTGCGCGCCCGGGATCCGAACCCAGGCCGCCAGCAGGGGAGCGCGCGCACTTAACCACTAAGCCACGGGGCCGGCCCTGTACTTCAGTGTTTTAACAAAGCTGCCCCGAGCAAACTGAGGAAGGGGCTACCAGAATTCAATCCCTATAAACTAAAATTCCATAAGTGGAAATACTGGATTCTAAGGACATAGGGTACCTAAAAGCCCATTTGAATGATTTTTTAGGCTGGGAGCAGCCTGAGAATGCTTCCTTGTTTTCAGACACAGCCCTTTTTATAGTCTTACAGGCCCTAGGCACTTCAAAATCCTATCACACGTATTAAAATGCACCCAATGTTCCATGTGGGATATATTTTTTTGCTGTATAAAAAATTTTACAGGATCTTTATGACATTGCTTTTGAGATTATGCATGTTGTTTTGTGGTATCTGAGCCTATAGAGCCCAATAAATAAAATGCGGTGTCATAATGCTTTGGAATAAGGGATTCTCAGCTCTGGAAACCCTCTTACCATCTTCTGTGAACCCCACACCAGTATACTGCCCTTAGACTTGGGCTAGTAGGGCCCCAGCCCTGGGCCCTACACTTTAAAGTCCCCACTGGCCTCTGCCATGTCCCTCCCCATGGGCAAGAAATGTGCCAGGCCTAGGGGACTTGCCCACCCCAAATCCTCATCCTCCCCTCAGACCACACTCTGGATTCTGGGACCCTGGAATTCCCTGCCCAGCTATCTGTGAGCCTGCTTCCCAGGCTATGGGGGCCTCTTCACAGTCTGCCCCTGGAAGGTACACCATGCTCAGTGTGTGCATTCCTAGCCCTAGGGGGGCCATGTGGTAGTTTCTTTGGATGTGTGGACAGAGCCTAGATGTGCACAGCCAGGCTGGGGTGTCCACAAGTGTGAGTGCAGGATGGAGACATTAGTGAGAAGAAAAAGGGGTCAGGCTGGAGGTGTGGGGCTGGTCCCCCCGTAGTGCCATGTCCAGTATGGAGCTCTGAGGTGAAGCCTGAGAATTCTCAGTTCAAACCTGGTATATTTTTCAAGGTTAGAGGATAGAAAATATTTAACAGTTTATTAGTTTGATTTATACTTTGAAATATTTAGACATACGGTGTGAGAGCCTCCACTTGTATTTTTTGCCCCAATCCCCACAAATCTTAGGGATGGGCCTTTCCCACACAAAGCTTTACACCCATTTCACTAAATGTTTAACACCTCGAAATGACCTTAAAATTTTTTTTTCCGCAAATGAACTTGTGTCCACACATAACTGAAGAAAAATTGTCTATTGACAAAGGCTGGGATGGGATACACACAATGCAAAGAGTGTTACGGCAATTTTTAGATCATTTATTACCCCTTGAAAAATGTTTTTCCAATTTAAAGATATTTTGGCAGGATTTTATTTGAGGAAGAGATGGAGAGGAAGATACAGGTCCAATTTATTAAGCATTCTCTCTGTGGCAGACGTTGCTAAATCCTTGAGAGCAGTATCATTTTAATTCCCCAAAATAGACTTCTGAAAAATGGTTCTGTTCTCATCTTACTTTAGAGAGTAGGAAATGGTTGATGGATTTGGGCTGGAGCCCAGAGACCCCGGGAGTGATCAGGAAGGGGCCTGACTGACTGAGAAAGGAGTTAAATGAACAGCTTCCTTCCCCAGTGGCATGGGCTTGGAGCACATCCCGCTTCCCAAGACTTCCAGCAGCTAAATGCTCAAGGGCAGTCATCAGTCAAGAGCTCAGGCCAGCTCAGGAATCTCAAGGAAAAGCAGGACAGCCTCTTAGGGAGCACTCTGGCAAAGTGGGTGGTGGGGGTGGCTGTGAAAATGACGTGAGAGATTATTGACTTGTAGTGAAAGGAGAGACAGGCATGCGAAAGGTCTTGCCCTCAGAAGCATTGTCCTAGGTTTGCATCATGACTTGCAGACAAGATGACTTTTCAGTGTCCCACCAGGATTCAGGTAGGTGAAAATCTGTTTCCATGATCTGAATCTCAAACCCATTCTGTTTTACATATTAACACAATGGGGAGGGGACATGAATTTTTTTTTTAATTTTTATTTATTTATTTTTCCCCCAAAGCCCCAGTAGATAGTTGTATGTCATAGCTGCAAATCCTTCTAGTTGCTGTATGTGGGACACGGCCTCAGCATGGCCGGAGAAGCAGTGCGTCCATCGGTGCGCGCCCGGGATCAGAACCCGGGCCACCAGTAGCGGAGCGCGCGCACTTAACCGCTAAGCCACGGGCCGGCCTGGGGCATGATTTTAATATAGACTGAATTTTCCAGGAATGCATTTAAATAGAGCAAAGACAGAACTTTTACTGGGAATTTTTACTAAGTTCATTTCAAAAATCGTTATCACCAATAGCAACATTGGTAGCTATTATATTCACAATGGATGCGTGTGTTTAGCACTTATTTTTAAATATCACTAATAAAGAAATTCAACAATATTCAGTCGAATATTGTTTTACGTATCCGAACTTCACTATAGGTAGATGCAGCATCTGTTTACTTCACTATGTCTTTCAGTATTTCCGTACCTGAATATTTTCATACTGAAATACTTTTATTTCATGATAAACTACTTCTCTCTTCCTTCTTCTTTATATAGCAGTTAATCATATTGAGTTTCTGAAATTGTGCGTGTAGGCAGGTTGTGCTGGCTATGTTCTTGTTTTTCCAGAGGAGTAAGTGGGGGCTCCGGAAATACTTATTTGTCAAGGGGGCGTTCCCGACCGAATTGGCCCCGCCCCTCGCCGCAGGCCCCGCCCCCATAGCCTTCCGCCACACTCAACATGGCGCCGGTGCCGGTCCGCCGAGGCGCCTGAGCAAGTCGCAAGTGGCGCGTTCCACTCCAGTTATGGCGACCCCCCGACAGGCCGCGGATGGCGGCGCTCTGGAAACACGCGGTCTGGAGCGGATTCTGGAGGCGTTGAAGCTGCTGCTGAGCCCGGGAGGTGAGAGGCCGGATATCGGCGCCGGGCTGCTCCCGGGACTCTCAGGGCCGCCAGTCTTGCAGGGCTGCCCTGCCTCCCGCAGCGTGCGCCCCTCAGGCCCTCCCCAGGACCTCCTCCCTGCGGCCGCTCCGCCCCGCTCTTGGGGGCTTTGGGCATTGTCTGTCTCTTGAGGAGACCGAGGCTCAAGGAGGGATGGGATCCGTTGAATAGCGATAGTAACCAGTGTCTCTTGAGCACTTACCTTGTGCCGGGCACCTGCTAGGCGCCTGGGTACGTGGTTTCACTCCGTCCTCACTGCAGCCCTCGAAGGCGGGGATGCGGAAACAGCTCAGAGACAGGAGGCGCTCGTGGTGTATAACGTGAGGGCCAGCCTCTTGAGGGCGCGGGGTCCGAAGTGGACACCGATTTGCACAAAATGCCAGGGAGTCCAGAAGAAGGAAGCAGTGACGTGTGAGCTGGGTTTGGGGAGAGTATTTAGGGATTTACAGTCTGTGGGAGGGATTTACAGTCACTTTTAATCTTTTGTAGTGAGTTGAGATCTTCCCAATTTAGAATCTGAAGGGACCTTGGGAGTGGTTTAGCCTGACGCGCCCCTTTAACAGCTGGGGGCACCCTAGGTTCACTGAAGGTAGTCAGGAACCTGCCCAAGATCAGGTGGTCAAATTGGGGGCAGAACACAGACCTAGAACCGAGGTCTAGCGAACCCCCTGCTCAGACCAAGGCAAATTAATTCAGTATGGAGCCTCTGATGTTGTCTGGAGCTTTGAGAAAGGAGAGAAGAAAAAAGATCCTGCTTGCAAATGGAGTGTATATTTTGGAGGAAGGGGTTTGTAGGGTGAGCAAGGTAAGGTCCATAAAGGGCCTGAGGTGATATTCCAAGCCTCAAATTTTGGGCCTGGCCCAGGTGGCGTAGTGGTTAGGTTCACGTGCTCCGCCTCAGCAGCCCCAGGTTTGCAGGTTCGGATCCCGGGCGCACACTTACACACCGCTTACCAGGCAGTGCTGTGGCAGGTATCCCACGTAAAATAGAGGAAGATAGGCGCAGCTGTTAGCTCACGGCCAATCTTCCTCAGCAAAAAAAAAAAAGGAGGATTGGCAACAGATGTTAGCTCAGGGCTACTCTTCCTCACAAAAACAAAACAAAACAAAAAAACCCCAAGTCTCAAATTTTGAGACACGCCCTAAACTGCAAAACCTCTGTTGTACGTTGCACCGTACCTGGGGGAAGTGAAAGAAGTTATTAATAATAGCAATTGAGTGCCTACTAAGTATCAGTCCCCGTAGTATGCTGTTTACATATATATCATTTCATCCTCACAACAATCCCATGAGATAGGTATTACTTGTATTACGTTTTACAGATGAAGGAACCAAGGCTCAGGTACACTGGAAATTGTCTAATGTCAATCTAGTAAGTGGCAGAGCTAGGATTTGAACTGTGGCGTCTTCCACTGTATTATGGTAACTATACTACATGGCTCCAGTGAAGAATTAAACTGCAAAATACAGTTTTAACTTGCTAATCGAGAGGTCACTTGTCTAGCAACTGCAGCTATCTAGAACATGACTGAGAACATCATTAAATAAGCAAAAAATCTGAAAGTAATCATCTATCACAAAGCACATATACTTCATTTATAGAAGACCCTCTCTAAATCTCGAAGAGTATGTGGTGGAGTTGCATACATGTAGTCATTTAACTACAAGCATACCTATTTAAAAAGAATAATTTAAGTGGTGTGGTAAAATGATAATATTTTGCACACATAGTCTATTCCATATTGTGTGAATATGCCTGCTGCTTTATCATGTGAGCTGCTGAGGGAATTAAAAACTACCTGTGCTGGCCGGCCCCGTGGCTTAGCGGTTAAGTGCGCACACTCCGCTGCTGGCGGCCCGGGTTCGGATCCCGGGTGTGCACCGACGCACTGCTTCTCCGGCCATGCTGAGGCCGTGTCCCACATACAGCAACTAGAAGGATGTACAACTATGACATACAACTGTCTACTGGGGCTTTGGGGAAAAGAAAAAAAAAAATTAAAAAAGCTTAAAAAAAAAAAATACCTGTGCATAATGAGTATTCACATGTCCTTGTTGGACAGAGGGTATTGAGGAGATGGGATGAAAGTATTGGTTAAAATTACATCCAGCTTAAACTTTTTTTGATCTGTCTTTAAAATGACTACCTTTGAGGTAATATTTACTGAGAGACAACTGTATGTAGTATTTTATCCTCAGTGCTATTGGAGATACAAAAATATATAACAACTTGTGCTCTCAAGCATCTTGTCCATTTGGGGAGGTGGTGGTACTAGACATATAGACCGAAAGATATTCAACATGGCAGGATAACACTCATGGTGAATAGACGGTACAATCAACTGGATAGAGAAGGAGTTATCCAGGGGTAGGGCTGTGGAAGGCCACATGAGGAAGAGGAATTGAGTCTAGGTGGAAATTACATAGAAAGGAAGGAAGATACCAACAAACTTTCACTTTTGATCCATCAAAAGTTGTGCTGCATTAAGCTTCTTCTCTTCCCCTATCTTCCATTTCTATTCTCAGTCATGGGGCAAATAATAATATCTCCACCTACAGCGTTAGGAATTATGTAAGAACAATTTGAAAGGGGTTTGTCAATTTTAGTGAGTTTTGTTTGTAAAAAATGGGGGCCATCTCAGCAATAGTTTTCCTAAAAAATACTAAATATAGATTCACTGAACTCTGTCATTAAATTTGAATTACACGGGGGAGAAGGAGCTGAAAATTCCTATAAGTTGTAAATAATGAAGCTGTATCACACTTATTCTTGCATGTCATCTTGCTTTGCGCTTCGAACTTTTTTGTGTGTGTGTGAGGAAGATCAGCCCTGAGCTAACATCTGCCAATCCTCCTCTTTTTGCTGAGGAAGACTGGCCCTGGGCTAACATCTGGCCCTGGGCTAACATCCGTGCCCATCTTCCTCCACTTTATATGGGACACCACCACAGCATGGCCTGACAGGCGGTGCATTGGTGCATGCCCCGGATCTGAACCCAGGCCGCCAGCAGTGGAGCGCGCACACTTAACCGCTACGCCACCAGGGCCGGCTCTTGCGCTTCGAGCTCAAAAAGCACCACACATGGGGCTGGCCCAGTGGCGTAGCGGTTAAGTGCGCATGCTCCACTTCTGGTGGCCTGGGGTTCGCAGGTTCGGATCCTGGGCCTGGACATACACACCGCTCCTCAAGCCACGCTGTGGCAGGCCTCCCACATAAAGTAGAGGAAGTTGGGCACGGGTGTTAGCCCAGGGCCAATCTTCCTCAGCAAAAAAGAGGAGGATTGGCAGCAAGTGTTAGCTCAGGGCTGAGCTTCCTCACACACACAAAAAAGTACCACACAAACCGTGACGTCTGATTTTAAATGTCACAAAGCGTAGACATTTAAATTGGTGAATGGGAAGAACAGATAGTGCTGTTCATGAGGGCGGCATTTCCCTAAGTGTGATAGGCCTGGCTGTAGGTGGTATGTAGAGAAACATTTGAGGCTGAATAGTGTGCAGTGAGGAGAGCATGGGCTCTGGAGCCAGACTGCCAGTTGAATATGCCCTAGGGCAAGTAGCTTAACCTTAGTTTCCTCATCTGGAAATAAGAATAACAGTATAACACTCTCTACCTCACAGAGTTGTTGTGAGGGTTGAATTAAAGACATAAAGCACTTAGAAAAATGTACTAGCTATTACTAATTTAAGTTTTAAAAAATGATTTAATTTGAAGAAATAATTAAACAAATAAAGCAAATAACAATACAGCTTGTACTCAGGTAAATGGCAAAAATTGTGGAAGCGCTATGTGACTGAAATTTGGAAAACATTGTTTTAAGGCAGCAGATCTCAAACTTTTTGGTTTCAGCACTCTTTTACACTCTTAAAAATTGTTGAGGGGGCCAGTGCCATGGCCTAGTCATTAAGTTTGGCATGCTCTGCTTCAGCGGCCCAGGTTCAGTTCCCGGGCACGGACATATACCAGTTGACGGTGGCCATGCTGTGGCGGCAACCCACATACAAAGTAGAGGAAGATTGGCGCAGATGTTAGCTCAGGGGGAAACTTCCTCAGCCAAAAAAAAAAAATTGTTGAGGACTTAAAAGAGCTTTATGTGGGTTATATGTATCAATATCTACTATATTAGAAATTAAGACCTTAAGAGAAACCTTTTGAATTTATTTAAAAATAACAATAATAAACCCATTACCTGTTAACATAGTGACATTCTTTTTTTTTTGGTGAGGAAGATTGGCCCTGAGCTAACATCTGTGCCCATCTTCCTCTATTTCGTATGCAGGACGACGCCACAGCATGGCTTGATGTGTGGTGCATAGGTCGTGCCCAGGGTCTGAACCTGTGAACCCCAGGCCACCAAAGCGGAGCATGTGAACTTAACCACTACGCCACTGGGCCAGCCCCCATGGTGACATTCTTAATGAAAAATATATTTTGCAAAATAAAATAACTTAGCAGGAAGAGTGACATTGTTTTACATTTTTGCAAATTTATTTAATGTCTGGCTTATTAGAAGACAGCTGGATTTTCATATTTGCTTCTCCATTCAATCTGTCAGGATAGGTTGTTTTGATTGAAATAGATGAAGAAAATCTAGACTCATGCAGATACGTAGTTGGAAAAGGGAGGAGAATTCAATCACCTTTTCAGATAATTGCATATATTCTTCTTTTACACTGTACTAAAACTCAACAAGAGGTAATTTCTTAAAGGTTAGTTGCAATATGGAATCTGAACTCAATGAACTTTTCATACTTGGTAGGCTCATGAGAGAATGAGAGCATAAAAGGCAAATAATGTCTTAGTATTAATATGAAAATAGTTTTGACCTTGCAGACTCCCTGAGAGAATCTTGGGAAACTCCTTGAAACCTGAGTCCCTGTATCACACATTGAGAACTACTTTAAGGGAATGCCTTTATTTATTTTCAAGAAGATTTTATTTTTATCACCAGTAGAGGGCA